TAGATCCTTGAAAAGAGAGGAGGTTGGTGTCTTGGTAGCTGTATGAGTGCCATTGAGAAAGCGAAAGACCATATCATCGATGTAGTGGCTTTGAGACATATAGAGAAGTTTGTTGTCGTGATCGCGGGTGATTTTAATTGAAAGGAAATGGTGAAGGTCCTCATCTGCACCAATTTTGAATTTCGCACCAAGACTCGATATGATGGAGTCGACAAAAGAATCTTCACCCACAACGGCGAGATCATCAACATGGACTGTTATTGCCCCCACAAGTTTTGAGTTGTGTACTTTAAAGTAAAGAGTGGGGTCGTATTTAGATTGGGTAAGACCAGAATCCAGAAGTGCTTGATGAAGTTTTTGATTCCATTGCCTTGGGGCTTGTTTCAGACCGTAAATTGAGCGGTGAACCTCACAAACAAAATCTGGATGGATAGGATCCTCAAAACCGGGAGGTTGTTCCATAAAGATGGGTTGATCAAGGTGTCCATTGAGGAAAGCGGTCTTGAAGTTGACCTGGCGTCCTTTCCACGATTTGGACGCTAGAAGGCTGCAGATGAGACGGAGTGTTTCAAGACGGAGAGTAGGAGCAAATACTTCTTGATAATCAACTCCCCGAACCTGGGAGTACCCCATCGCTACTAGTCTAGCTTTCAGTTTCAGGATAGACTTGTCCGGGCGGCGTTTCACTTTGAAAACCCACTTCGACTTGATGATTTTTCGCTTTGCTGGCCTCGGAACCAGACGCCATGTATCCATCCCAAGCAGAGAGGAGAATTCTTCATCAGCGGCTCGAAGCCATTTTGCCTTGTGGGGAGATTTCTGAAGCTGATGCCACGTTTTGGGAGTGTCAACATCGTCGGGAGGGGCGGAGGAGGATTTGGCCCAGTTTCCATAGCGTTCAGGGGCTTTGCGAACTCGTCCAGAAGACCTGACAGGCGGAGAAGGAGGACGGGAGACGGGAAGAGGAACAGTCTGAGGATCGGCAGTGTCAGAGGTTGGAACGGGTGGAGGAACAACCCGTTGGTCAGGGGTTTCAGCAGGCAGTTGAGAGGGGGTTTCAATAGAGGAAGGAAGATTAATAGGGGGAGGTGATCTGTCCATGAGAGATGAGACAGGAGGACGCAGGAACGGTGAAGGCAGCGGAACAGGTGAGGGGAGTCCAGAAGACTTACCGCCATCATCAGAGTCACTGGTGATTGGTGAGTTGGGGATGAGTGGAGCCGGCTCACGAAGCTGCCTGAAAGTTTGAGGTAGATCAATTTGTAGCCGAGAAGGTTGAGGTGGTGCTGGCTGAAGAGCCGCAGAGTCAGGTGAATCAACTGTGGCCGTTGGTAATCCAGCAGGCCGAGTGATGGATGGCCAAGGCAAATCAACATAAATAGTCGGGGTTGGACCAGTGATTTGGTGATCATAGGGAAAAATTCCATCGTTGAAAATAGTATCCCGAGTCTTGATTGCCTTCTTTGTCTGAAGATCCCAGACGCGGTAGCCATTGCCATCGTCAAGGTAGGACAGGAAAACGGATGCATGAGCCCTCGGATCAAGTTTCTTCTGAGTTACATCCGGAACTTTGTGCCAGACTAAGCACCCAAAGGGGTGAAGAGAGTTTAAGTCAATGAGAGGACGACCTAGGATTGAATTGGGAGAGCGAAAACCTAGAGGAGTATAGCAGGGGACGGAGTTGAAAGCATGGAAAATGTGGCGCATGGCGTCCGCCCAAAAGACCTTTGGAAGTTTTGCAGTGAGAAGAGAACACCGGACGAGATTTGCCACGGTGCGGTTGGTGCGTTCAGCAACACCATTGAGGGATGGGGAGTGAGGAGGTCCAGGCTCATGGTGAATACCGGAAGTGAGGAGAAAAGACTCAAAAACCTTAGAGACATATTCTCCACCGTTGTCGGAGCGGAGCTTCAAAATTGGAAATTTTCCGTCTTTTTCGAAGAAAGCCTTAAAGATTTTGAAACAGGAGAAAACGTCTGATTTGGATTTCATTGGAAAAATAGAGACAAATTTAGAACAATCATCGATAAAAGTGACGAAATATTTGTATTGCTCGCGAGAGGCGACCTCAAAAGAACCAACATCGGAGTGAATGGGGCAATGATAATCG